GCTTCAACTGATTCAGAGGTTAGTAACTACTTAGTAAATATCTTATAACCAAAGCAAATTGGAGGTCAGACGTAACACTACTCAACGCTATGGTCTGACGCGGTCCCGCGCAAAATCGGTTTGAATAAAAATAGCCATTGCGCGGAAGCCGCGCCGGGGCTTCTCTATCAAACCGCCAATCGACGACGGACGACGCCGGCGCGCGACACGCGCGCCTGGAACCGTCGGCCGGCCGTCCAGCGAACCGGATTGTCAAGGCGCGCTCTCTCGTTTTTCCGACACCGTCCGGTACGCATCAACACCACGACACGATTTGTGTATTTCACCACCGATATTGAATAATTTTGTTTCTTTACAATAAAGGAAAATTACACCTTGAGTGCGACGTTCGTTGGTTCTTTCTTTCTTGTTTTTATAATATTGTTATTATTTCGTTTTATTTGTTTTCAACCCGACGGTATCCGTCGGTCACCATCACCACATCAACGTCCACGCGGCACAGAACAAGTCCGCGTCAACTGGCTCCCCGAACAGGAATCACCGGTAAGTGAAAACTTTCTTACCACATACTACCACCCCCAAATAAACCCCCGTTGCGCGTTTTGGAAAAAAGTCACCAACGCGATCCGGCAAAAACGTGGTTTGCAGGCGGTAACGGAAAAACCGGAGTTACGTAATATATTACATAACCATAAAGGACGTAACGACCGGCCGCGCCGCCCGACTCACGGACGCACCGACCACACCTCGCGCGACGCACCGAACACACACGACGCAGGTAGGCATTAGGTAGGAACGCAAGAGCGCGAGAGGGTCACACACCCACACCACCACCGCCTAGCTCCACCACCCGCCAACGACGACACGCGATTACCCGGGACAACAATACCACGTAATCGGACTGTCGCCGCCGCCGCTTAAAGCGACAGCCGCCGCCTTCCCTAATCGCAGTAGTGCACCCGATAACGCACACACGCGCATCCGCGAAAACACTCTGCGAAGACCGGTTACTGTGATCGCCCGGCAAGCGCAACAATAACAATAACAACCCACTGACCTACATTCCGTAAGCAAATAAATACCGATAAGCGGACAACACAGCTGATCGAAGGAACGCGATACCCGTTCCAACGACAACAGCCACATTTTATAATTTCTCGTCAACAACACCGGAAAACCAACCCGAAGTCATGCCGGGAAAATATATTAATGAATTGACCGCCGTGGAATTGCGCTACGAATGCGGACAGCGCGGTTTATCGGATACGGGCGCGAAGGGTGATCTCGAAATCCGATTAACACAACATTTCGCGGACATGAACCTGCAGGCCAACGAAATCCGGTTCCCGCCTATGGAACCCACTGGGCACACCGGACATAGCTCGGCCACAGGTCTGGTACCCGACGCCAGTCAAACCGCGCAAATACAGATCGAGACATCACACGCCCCACCCCAGATCACCACTAACAACACAACACCCCAACCATCAACCACACCCACACACCAACAAACTATGGATATGATCCAAACGAATCGTACCATAATTAACGAGGTACGGCAAGCGGTGGAGAACTCGGCGCATGGCGGCGGTCTGGAATCGCGACTGACCATGCTCGAGAACTGTATGGCCCGCTTTGGCGAAGACCAACGCCGCATTGCAGAGACAATGCGACGCCTAGAGATGGGTATGGCACGCCAAGCACCGGAACAACAACCGGATGCAACCCCACCGACCCGCCCACGCCACACAGTGTTATCGAACAACACGGAATACGGAGCGAGGTACCCCGCGGCACGCGAACCGCCGTCCGCGGGTAACCAACGCGCCGACCATTCAGTACGTTTCGACGACACAACAAATTTACACCATGCCCCCTCCTCCACACACACCTACGCGGCACAACAATCGACGCTGATACCATACGACGACGTATGTGCAGCGAGACATTCGCTGCCGGAGTACCACGGGACAACACCTGAGGACCCGGCAAGATTTATACATAAAGCGGAGTCGATAATGTACCAAACGCGTATAGATAGGTCGGCCTGGACAAATATTATCGCACAACAGCTAAAGGGTGCAGCCAGTACCTGGTGGAACACCATCAGACTACTGGACGTCACCTGGGACGAGTTCCGCGCCGAATTTTTAGAAAAATTCGACAACGTGGAAATTCAGTCACGGCTGCGGGCAGAGATAGTATCCGTCCGACAAACACCAACGCAATCGCTAACGGAATTCGTAACGCAAAAAAATCAACTTGCACGCCGCGTCAATACCGGACTATCTGAAACACAGCTAGTAGGTACGATAGCCGGACTAACGCGCAACGAATACCGCACGCACATAAGATTGCAAAGACCAGCGACTTTCGGAGACCTCCGCCGGATCGCTGGAGTCCTGGAGTACACATTTGACGACCCAGCGACACAACCACAGCCGAAACCGGCGCAAAAAAAATTTTCCCAACCCCGCCCACCTCAACCAACGCACCAACAGCGACCACGGGACGGTACCGCAGGCAAACCGCAACCGCCCAACCCGTGCAGATACTGCGGAGGTCCTCACTGGAACAGTGACTGCCCCGGGAACACACCGCGTTCGGGAAACGGGAAATGAGTCGGCGGACACCTGTCCACGCCGCCGCCTCTACCACACACACACACACACACACCACCACGCCACCACACACAACGGTCGGCATTACAGACGGGGATATAACCATCAAACGCGCATCGATAAACTCGGCGTCCTCACATATATCACCCGTCCAAACATCAACAATTTCGTTAAGTAGCAGGTCACCATCACCACACCACGCGGCACCCCAAAGGTCCGCATCAACGACCCCTACTACGAAATTAACAGGTACACATACAGTACACGCACATAGCACAGAGCTGGTAACCGAAACGGATGCTCTGGTAATGGCGGTGCAAACCGCTCCCCAAAACACCGATATCGCGGTTAAGAACCAGTTATCCAGCTATACATCACCACCAACGTCGAATAACGCTAAACGAGTATGCCCCGACAAAATTCCGACCCCCGCGGTCGAACTCGAATTTAGGTCAGGCCCCGTAACAGCTCTACTCGACTCCCAAGCACAAAAATCGTATGTAAGCCCGAACACAGCAAAAAAAAAATTTTTTTTGGCACACCCCACCACGGACAACCCACTCAGGTACGAATGGCGGATGGACACACTACCATGACAAGTGGTACCTCCACATTCGTAGCCAGAATCGGAGACCTCACGGTAACCTTCAACGCAGCCATTCTGGACAATTTATACTGCGACATGCTCCTAGGTCACGACTGTCTCGTGCAAAACGAAGTCACCTGGGACTACACAACGAGCACTATTCATTTAGGTTCGAATAGGAGAACAACAGCGTGCTGGAAAGGTCGGATACCCAACCCCAGCCCAGCACTAGATGTCGACAAACTAACAATAACCCACGCTAGCGAGATAGGAGCGGGTGCCGTCCTTTTCCAACGGGGTGACAGCCCGGACGAAAGGCGGATAATCGCCTACGCAGGCAAAAAGTTTAGTGATACACAAACAAGGTACGCCGCGATAGAACGCGAGTGCCCCGCGATAATCTGGGCAACCAATGAGTTTAGACCATACCTGGAGGCACGCCGGTTTGACCTATACTCAGACAACTCAGCACTCACATGGCTCCACCGAGCCAAAAACACAAACTCAAAATTAACCAGGTGGGCACTACAACTGGCCAACCTGGATTACAAAACCACGCATGTGCCCGGCGTACAGAACGAAGCGCCGGACATGCTCTCCCGCAACCCGACTACCGGGCCCCCGGTAGACGAGGAACACCTCGAGGAACGACTAGTAGGAGTACCCACCTCACCACTCGTCACCACTACTAGTCCACCGGCCGACAATCTGTTCGCCACGACGAACCAAGCTAACACCACTAGTCACCCCACAATCACACACGCTATGCTCGTGACATGGCAGGCCAATGACCCCAACACACGAGACATAACGCACAACATGACAACGGACGACCCAGCGCGCAATACCGGAGGTACCTCGGAAAAAGAAAAACAAGCAATTAATTTTTACCGACGGTCTTCTCCGGATAAGTTTGGGCGAACACACACCCGTAGTCATCCCAAAAATCAACACCCAGAACGTGATCTGGACTAACCACGAACACGTACTCGCAGACCACCCGGGCTGGAAAGAAACGTACAGGGCGGTCAAACACCGTTATTTTTTTTTTTGGAAGGAAAAAGAAAAAAAAAACGACATCCGACTGTACGTCAAGTCGTGTCCCATATGCACGGAAAAAATAGTTGGTTGATTTAACTAAAATTATATGTATACTAGCCGTAAAATCTAGTTCCATATGGCATAGCCCTACATTTAGTTGCAAATACCAAATGGTTATAGTTGCAAGATTAATAGTTAATTTGACTAAAATATGCAGTTGCTAATTTTTCTTACAATATTATTTAGTTAAATCAACTATAATTTTATTGTAAATATATAGTAAACACAACCATAAAATGTATTAGTCTTACTATAGCATCAGTCAAATTTACCAAGCTTTTTTTTCTGAAACAGCTAAACATTTTAGTTGGCAATTTCTCTAACTAAATATTTAGTTAAACCAAACGATATATTTGTTTAAATTTATAGTAAATAGAACTAAAAGTTTTATAGTTTTTACTATAATTTTAGTCAAATTTACTAATTATTTATTTTTGGAATAGCTAAAAAAATATAGTAGATTTTTTCAACTATTGGAAATGGTTTAATTTAAACTACTATACTTTTAGAGGTGACCAAGTAGGTATAGGAAAAAGAAAGTATAAGGATTTGCTGTAAATATAGTAAATAATATATTATATATACATTAAAAAAAAAAACAGATTTATAAAACATAATAAAATATTTATTAATAAAAACATGTTTTTTTACACATTATAATTTCATAACATTTTTGTATAACATGTGGATGTTTATAAAGGTATATAAGATAAATTATTTGATAGGACACAATGAACAGTGGGATGTACACTGTCTAATTTTTCAACCGAACAACATAATAATTTTTCAGGTAATTGTACATTATATGCTTGGAAATGTTCATCAAAATAATTATTTTCATAAATCTTACAAATAATAAATGGTATATTATCAGCTTGAATAAATATAGATATTATTAGTCCAAAAATTGGTAATATATTTGGATTATCACTTAAACTAACTAGAATAGACATATTATTACTATTATAAGTGGTTCCTTTAAAATTAATCCACGAAACAAATATTGCATCTTCTAAAAATTCAAAAGGGGAACATAAAAATTCAACTTTACTATACTCAAGCCATGTGGTTTCCGAAAGAGTTATTTGATGACCGAACTGCATATCAATAATATTATTATTTGATGACAAAACTCTGTATGCTAAACTAAGTTGGTGTTTCAATGCCAAGGTATAAGGGGAGTTCTTACGAGATGTAATTGATTTAGCAGTTTCCTTAAGCTGTTTATGTTTGGATTCAAAACGCATAGACCAAAGTGATGACAATGGTCCACACTGTTCCATAATAAAAGGATAGTGTATCATATGATGGAATTTGGGTTTGAGGTGGGTGTTAAATAATTGAATATATAACTCATGGTGCTCTTTTATTAAAACTTTACAGAGTTTAATGTCTTCTACTTTGAGGCATTTTCCTAAAAGAATGTCTATGATTTGTTTTAAAGTAACATATAAACACCAATATTTTGAATGTAAGGGAACTAATTCACCAATAATTAATGCTAAATTCTTTGTGAAACACAACATTTCAGAAGCAGACATCTTTATTATACCGCGTCTTAATGATTCATTTGATAAAAGTGGAGGTATATTACGAATGTTAATAGGTCCATAGTTAAACGATTCTATCCTGTCATTAAGGATATCAATAGTAAAATAATTCAAGTCATATATCATAGTTTTTAACATCATACCAATATCGTATTTGCAAACACCCTCTAGGATATCATGCATGATATCAACAGCATAATTTTTGGTGACATGAAATGAGTTAATTTCGTTAAAAATGCAAAGCTGTTTTATTCCAGTGAGGGTTAGGTCATCAACTGCAACATCATTAGAATAGTTAACTTCGTTTCTTAGATTATTATCGATTTGTTCTACCTGATGTTGGCATTCAGTCTTATGAGACTTGCAAAATCTACATGGAAAATTAGCTATAAAACTCTCTGAAAATCCTAGCATGGAATGTAAACCTAAATTATCACCTAAAATCAAACCCAGAGAGAAAAAAACTTTGTTGATTTTACCATTATAAAGAATATCTATTCCAGTAGTCTCTAAAAATTTGAGCTCAGAAATAAGTTCTGAAAAAACAGCATGGTTCCCATATTCTTGCCTATCTTTAGATTTAAATAATGATACTAAAAATATATTTTCTAACGAGGAAGAATATTCAGGAGGTAGACACGCTAACGAAGCATAAACAGCACCCAGCTTATTGTTACCTGCGTGGGATCCTAGAGCATTGTTAATTTCGAAGTCATCAAAATATATAAATAATGGCAAAATAAGTTTTTGGGAATTGTCTTTCAGTTTACTTTGCCACAGTTGAGATTGGACAAAATTACTTATACATATTTTTGAACTACATTCCAATTGTTTCATATATTTAATTACTATCTCAAACAAATTACAATCTAGCAAAATTATTTTAAGTACAGATCTCAGAGGAATAACAGACATCTGAACTGGTTTTGGCTCAAATAAAACATGACCTCCCATCATTCTATCGGTTAATCCACACCCAATATCTACCATTTTAGGTCTAACAAGAACACCCATTTCATCTAAAGCTTTAAAACGCATATGTTCAGAATTTATATTAGAAAAAGGATTTTCAAGGGAATCAAACATAAGTAACATATCTTTAAATAAATTAATTTCAAAATTGTTAAGACTTATAATATCGAGGAGTTTTTTTTTAAAAGAGATAAAAATGAATGATTAAATTGTTGTATATCATCAAACAAAACTTGTATTATTTTTCTGGGAATCACACTATTATTATACCACTTAGATGCCAATGATATTGAGTTATAACGCAATGTATTATTAAATTGTTTAATTGTAATTGATTCTGTACAGTGATGACTTGAAGGGATGTCATCATTTAAAACTGGGCAACTGACAAAGTGTAGAGCTGAAGTTTTGTGTTCTTTAGTAAAATTCAAATACTCATTAGAAGTTGAAACATCGGGTAAGTTTGTATGTTGGGTCAAATGATTTTTATATGAGTGAAAAGTAGTCAAAACTCTACAACAATTAGGTTCCAAACATTTAAACTCCATCAAAGATTTTGGATCGTGAAAAATATTTAAATGAGTGATTAAATTAGAATTTAAACTGAATGTTTGTTTACATATAAAACACATAGGCATAATGAGTGTTTTACTTTAGTTTTTTATGTAAATATTAATTTAAAAAAAGATAATACTTATATCAATAAGAATAACAAAAAAAAAAAGTAATTCGATACAATTTAATATATTAATTGTCTGTTGTTACACTTTTAAGTAGATAAGACAAAATTGAAGTTAAATTATGAATAACAAAAAGAAATCTTTTTAATCATATAAGTAAACACTACAATATATTTTAAACAAATATCAATCATAATTTATGAAAATCATTAACTAACGTTTTTACAGACAAAATGGATTTGTCGGATTTAAGTTTAATTTCAAAAAAATAATGTTGTATAAACAACCATACCTGTTCACATTCAGTAGGATAGTGAACATTCAATGAAAAGAATGACTTAAAACATACATCCACAGCCTTAATCAATGTTTCTAATTTGTAGTATGTATTATCAATCACGACAAAAAATTCAGTTGAATCGATAACAATTACATATGGCTGTAACTTTAACCCATATTCAAAAGCTTTGTCTACTTTAACCTTATGTGCTATTTTTAATTCACCAACATCCTAAAAAAAAATCCATCAAATTTAATTTAAGAACTATTTTAAATTAAATCATGTTTAATACTACTTACAGATATAAATGTGATAAATGCTGCAGCTTGCTCTGCTTTAGATGGTCTCTAAACTGATGTTATCCCATCAATTTTACGTTTTCCATTTAACTTTACCGTTAATGGTTGAAATAAGAGTGGCAGTAATTTAAAAACTGCTGTGTATTCGTTACCTTAAAAAATACATTGTATCAATTTATTTTAAGAAAGTTAGAATAAACTGATAAGTATAATGTATAATTTCATATTGCTAAATGATATAAGATTTTAATTAATTAAATATTTACCAGGCTTTGATGGAGTTTGCAGTTCTTTTAAAATACTAGGTCCTTGGATTCCAAATTGATAATTAGCACTTTTAATATGTTCAATAAGCTTTACTACAAAAACATCTATTTTATTTAATAGTTTGAAATCTTTTTCAGGATAAAAATGTTTAAAATCAAGTTCAATCTGAAATAAATATAAAACAATAACAGATAATATACAATATAGTATTTTAAAATTAAATAAATTAAAGAAAATTTTTTTTAAAAATTACAGAGCATGTCTATAATAGGTAACTAGCTTAAGTAAATTGAATTAATTGAGATTGTAACCATTAAAATGCCACACATATTAAGTAGATAATCAAAAAGGTAAATATTTGCTTTTAGTTGTTAAGAGTATGCTACTAGTTAGAATTTTAAGGTTAAAATCATAGGTATTATGTATTTAACTATTTATATTAATATTTAACAAAAACTAACCAAAAAATGGCCTAAAGGTCTGTTTAGAGCAGGATATAGTTCCATTGAATTATGTTTTTTATGATGTCGATATCTAACTGTTTCTACCCAATATGTCTGAAGAGTTTGGCTTGGTTGAGTATTATTTTTGAGCCAAAGAATTTTATCCTCGTAATCTATTAAGACATAAATACAAAGTTACAAAAATAATATAAATCAAAGATGTATTTAAATCAACCTGAATCTATAAAGTTGTGATTATCAACATCACCAGAATGCGTAGCAACATCAGTGTTTGAGTTAATATTAATTTTCTTTATATGTTTTTTTAGATTGCAATATTTATCATATAATTTTCCTTTCATAGGAATTACATTATTGCCATCCTTACAATATGGAGTGAAATAAATTTCTTTTATTTCATTTGGGAACAATTTTTCAATGCCTATATTAAATAAGTAGGTGTCATTAATGATAATACATAAATTGATATACCTACATATATTAAATATATAGATTAATAAAATCATTAGTCATAAATCCATAGATAAAAATTATAGAAGTATGAATATCGGTTGAAAAAGATGTTTTTATATGACAATTGTTTAATCTAAATATTAAGTATAAATAGTAAATACATCAAGTTGATAATGTAATACGATTTTGGTCCAATGCCTGTATCAAGTTAATACATTAAATTACTTTTTTTTCATCAAGAAAAGAAAATTAAATTTGAAATAAACAATTAGTTTAATTAAAGTCATAGAAATAAAAAACTAATTTGATTACAACATTAAAATGAGTAACCAAAACCAAACTTATATGTTTGTATTTACACATGTACTTATAAATTATTAATTGCAATTATTATTCACGAAAAATATTAATAACATTATACCTAGTAGAGGTTTACAGTCTTTGGTATTATTATTGAACAATTAAGTATCTAAGTATACCTTCAGCTAATAATGAAAATTTATTTTTTTCAATTTTTAAATTATGTTCGCATTCTTGAATTTTATGTTTTATAACTACTGAACTTAGAGTGTTTCTCATGGATTGATTAAGGGTACCAAATGTGTCATAATACTTGAAAATCAACTTCCCATCAGCATAATTGTTTAATATTGTTGAGACATAATCTTTTGATTGTGGATTCTACAATATATTATTTAAAAAACAAAAGTAAGTGTTAAAATAATATTACTACAACAGCTTTGAAGATTAACCAGTGGCTTGCAAGTTTATCTCATGATTTGCATTAAGCTTATTGAATTACTAATACATGATTGCTAGCCACTATTTTATTTACAAAATATATTTTAAAAAAATATTATTATTGACTAAATTCCAGCTATAGCTGGAACACTGGTTATAACCAGTGTATGATAAGAAAAAAATAACAGGAAGGACATAATTGAATACAAAATAAAGCTTACTATGACCTATATACCTATATCAGACTACTGAAAGTGTTAAAATTATTATGTTTAAGACTAGGAGTGATAACCCTTCTTTAGTGACACCCTGAATAATAAATTAGTATTACATCAAACATCATAGTGGAATGGTGTCAATCAGATGAAGTGTAAGCTACGATAATTCAAAAAAATAATTAGTACTCAATAATTTCCCTATGTATCACTTTTCTCAAGTCATGCACTGGCTATAACAAGTTTCTACCTCTTCAGACTGAACTGCATGTATATATGTAATTTGGTTTTTGTCTGTTATTATGCTTCTTTCTAAATATTAAACAAATTATAAAAATAGGTGATAAATATGTGTTTATTATTAAAATATAAGAAATTGAAAGAATTTAGTGGTAACATATACCAGAGCTGTCAGTAATAATACTAATTGAGTCTAGATCCTTTGATGTTCCTTCAGGAAACAAGTTTTCATGAGAAAACAAATCTGTACTAGCAAAAGGTTCTTGTATTTCAATTACCATCTGACTTATGTCTTCATCGTAAGTTACTACAAATTTAATACAAATTTAATTTGAAAAATAAAATACTAATTTGAATGTATAATAAATAACAAAAAATTTAACACCATACCATCTTTCTGTGGTTGTAATTTAGAAATGTGAGTTATCTCTTCCAAAAATCCCTAATGGAGAATATATAATTAAGCACAATATAGAATGAAATTTGTAAATGTGAGAATTTCATCATTTGTAAATTCACGCAATTACATAGGTAGTACATTGAATCACAATCAAATTAACAACATATAATAAACTAGATATTTCATCAAAATTATTCAACTCACTTGACTTGTCTTTTTATATTCTTTCAGCTTACTAAAAAATTTTGACCTTTTTCCAATTTTAGGAAATAGCTCTTTTATCATGTCTTCGGTTAAATTTAATAATTCTTTCTGGTCAATCTCCTCATCTGAATAATATTTATATTATAAGAATTAAAGTCGATAGCTTTATTCTATTAACAGCTAACAAGATTGATAATGTATTTTCTGATGACGACAACACTTAAATTGTTATATTTTTCAGTAGGTGTATAAATATATAATATAGGTATATTGTAAATAGGTAGGTAGGTGTATTATATTATAATCTAAATTTGTGTTTTCATTTTTTATTCAGACTTTGTTTAATAATCTCCTTACCTACAAGAGTAGGTATTTAATATGTTAAAGATTTATTGTATTATATTTATAATATTACCTATATTAGTTAATTACATAATACCTATTGATGTAGTACGAGTAAATTGTATAGATAAACACTAATATTATTATAATGAAAATGGAATTAACTAACAATATATAAATACTAGCGTTAGTATTACTATACGTTAATAATATTATTTAGTAAAGAGCAATATATACGTATGGTAAAAAAAACATAATGTAGCAATGTACGTAGGTACTCGACAGTCAAAAATTCAACATGCAGTTTTAACCACTTTGTAGTGACTAGTGGGTAAGTTACTTAGGTAATCTAAGTACTTAAGTTACAAATCTCTCGTAAATAATATTAATAATTATAATTTGTTCTACATTACCTTTAAAAATGGTTACCATGTCTTCGAATCCCCATGCTTTCAGAATATTTTCAGTGAATTCGTCCATTTAGTAAGAAGTTACGAAGGTACTTGGCACTTGTAAATAAATAAGACAGCTTGAAGTGAAAAGTCACCAAGTCACTTAACGCAAAATTATTATTTTCTACAGCACTAGACAGAGTAAATTACTTTAAAATTGTCAGAACACTCAGAACTGTATAGCTATTGTGATTCTATTCTATGTTCAGTGATCACTAATATGGTAATAATATCACGAAAAGTAACAACAATAACAACACACAGTCACTGTCACACTCACACACGCACACAACCGCCGCCGCCGCCGCCGAGGCATTGGGAAAAACCAAAATAATTAATAATAACGGTTATATTAATATTTGCGAACAATCGTTACTATATTTTAAGGTTGTATTAACCACTTTTTTCTGGTAAAATATTTTTGACTATATTTATAGTTGAATAAGATAAAATATTTCAACTAATTATAGTTCGTTAATTTGACTAATGTATTTGGTAAAAATGTAGTAAATGCAACTAAAATATGTTTGTTTTAACTATAATATTTCTACCTATAATTATTTAGTTATAATTTTTTTCCGTGTGCGCGTGTATCAAACCA